TCTTTGTCGTCATTTTTTTTTCCACCTTGGATGCACAGAGATGCTCCTTTGCTCTTCTCCAAGGGTGTCCCTGTCCCCAGAGAACATTTCACCAGGGAACTTTATCTGATCTGCCCTCACTTCCCTCTCCTGCCCCCTCCCCATGATCTCCACAGGGTCCAGCGCTGTTGTTACAGCTCTGCAGAGCGAGTTGGCTGTGATGACTGCAAGCCATGGAGAGACAGTCAGTCCCGGGTAGATCCCTGTGGATCATTCACCATTTCTGGGGGACCTGGGCACCCACAGGTGAAGGCTCAGCCTGGGCCTGTTCCCTAATCCGTTGCCCCATATTGTCCCAGTGCCTAACAGTCTTCCCTCAGGACATGGGAGGTCAGCTGTACCCCTGTGCCAGGCACATGTGAACAGGCCTCAGGGTCTGAAAGGCTAGGTTCATGCCTCTGGAGAAGTGGAATGTTCCTGGACACACATGGTTATCACGGAGAAAAGGCCCAAAGCCCAGGAAGTTCCCCAGATGAATCTGAAATCATTTCTGAAGAGACAAGGGCAGGTTAATGCTGCTGAGAGATTACGGACAGAATCAGCTTCTTCAAGGTGTCTTTCAGCTCCTGATTCCTCATGCTGTAGATGAGGGGGTTCACAGCTGGAGGTACCACCGAGTACAGAAATGACACCACCAGATCCAGGGGTGGGGAAGAGATGGAGGGGGGCTTCAGGTTGGCAAAGAAGCCAGTGCTGAAAAACAGGGAGACCACGGCCAGGTGAGGGAGGCAGGTGGAAAAGGCTTTGTGCCGTCCCTTTTTAGAGGGGATCCTCAGCACAGCCCTGAAGATCTGCACATAGGATACCACAATGAAAAGAAAACAACCAAGTGCTAGTAAGATACTAACCACAACAAGCCCAACTTCCCTGAGGTAGGAGTCTGAGCAGGAGAGCTTGAGGATGTGGGGGATTTCACAAAAGAATTGGTTTAGGGCATTGCCCTGGCAGAGGGGCAGTGTAAATGTACTGGCTGTGTGCAGGAGAGCCATGAGAAACCCATAGCCCCAGGCAGCTGCTGCCATGTGGCAACAAGCTCTGCTGCCCAGGAGGGTCCCGTAATGCAGGGGTTTGCAGATGGCCACATAGCGGTCATAGGCCATGATGGTGAGAAGACAATACTCTGCTGTAGCACAGAAAACAAAAAAAAAGACCTGGGCAGCACATCCCCAGTAGGAGACGGCTCTGGTGTCCCACAGGGAATTGGCCATGGCTTTGGGCACTGTGGTGGAGATGGAGCCCAGGTCAGTGACAGCGAGGTTGAGGAGGAAGAAGTACATGGGGGTGTGGAGGCGGTGGTCACAGGCGATGGCAGTGATGATGAGTGCGTTGCCCAGGAGGGCAGCCAGGTAGATGCCCAGGAAGAGCCAGAAGTGCAAGAGCTGCAGCTCCCGTGTGTCTGCGAATGCCAGGAGGAGGAACTGGGTGATGGAGCTGCTGTTGGACATTTGCTGGTTTTTGTCATAGGGGCTCTGTTGAAAGAACAAAAAGACATGTAAAAATTAGAACGGACGTCTGTGAGTTTCTCAGGTTGGTGCTGGCTGAGTGTGGTGCGAGAAGCAGATGTCTGTTCATGTGCCGCTGAGGAGTCAGCTTTACTCCACTGCAGTGGGTACATGGGAGCTGGTTTGTGACAGCTCTGATGTTCCCATGGGGTGTCAGGCTTAATCCACCTTTAATGTAAAAGTTCAAAATCTGCCCTCAGGACTCCCCAGAGTGTGGGCTGCAGAGGAGAGGCTGAGCATGTCCCTATAAGAATTTTGCCTGTGTTCTTGATTTTTCACAGCCCCACCTGGTGAGTGTTCTTTGGAGGGGTAGAAATCCTCCTTTCTATAACTGAGTATGTGGAGAGTCTTGAGATAGGAGAGGCAAAAGGGCTCAGCTCTCTGTGGTTTAGGGCAGAGCCAGGAGAGCTACAGTGTCCATCACTTGTTTTTCCATCTACCCTGTGCTTTCCTTTGTGCTGCCTTGAGGATGAATTTACACATAAATCATTCATTAAAAAATGCAACAAATAACTGAACTAATCTGGTAACAGCAGAGCACTAGTTCAAAGGACCGATGTGTGAGCTCTTCTCTGTCCCAACCCAGAGTTGGAGCCGTGATGGAGAGAGCAGGACATGATCCCTCACAGAGAGAAGCAAAGGGCCAGCAGGAGAGGCAAAGCAGACAGCCAGGGGTTCTGGGGATGGGAGGTTCTAAAGAGAGAGTTAGCTCACTGCCCAGAAGACACTGCCCAGAAGACATCTCCAGGGAAGACCAAGAGAGAGCTGCCTGAAGGTCCCCTCCCCGAGGGCGTGTGGGCAGTTTCCCCCCAGCCCCTGCCCATGTCTCTGCTGCCTGGGAGCAGCTTCTCTCTCCCCAGCTCTCCTCCTGCCAGTGCTCCCAGAGCCCATCCCACCCGCTGGGGCTCAGCTCTGTCCTGCAGACACCTCCCAGCCACCAGGAACTGCCCAGGGCCATCTCGACCTCTGCAGGCTCTATGGGGACATCAGCAACCCTGATGAGGCTGGAAGAGCAATACTGATGCTCTCTGTAAGCAGCAGAGTGTTGATTTCTGATGTGTTCTGGTTTATTCACCTCTAAGAGAAACAGATTTGGAATTTCAGTGCCTCCTCCTGAACCAAGAGATGAATTTCTCTGTCCCATTGCCCATCCAGAAAACCCAGAGCAGGAGACTGAAAGAAGAAAGAACGGGATCCTTCCCTTTTAGGTAGCCCCTGCCTTGCCGTGCTTCTTGAAAAAGTCCCCTGGGAAACACCCTGGGGTGATTTGGAGCTATGAGCTATCCTGACCCAGGCACCAACCTCTCAAGAGCAGAGGGACCCTGTCCTGCCCTACAAAGGTGACTCCTTCCATGCAGTCCTTCTCCCCACAGCTCCATGGGGAGCTCCCTGGGCAGGCTGAGAGCTGACCCTGGCAGGCAGCAGAGTCCCGGCCCCAGCACACAGAGCCCTGGGGTGCAGGGACCCTTCTCTCAAGGACAATCCTGGGCACCCCCGGGTGCACCCTCGGCTTCACAGCTTTTCAAGTTCTGTAACAAGAGCCCCCCCATTCCCCTTACCGATCCCATGAGCTGTGTCTGTGCCAGCTTTAGCAGATCCTTCCAGGAACTACACTGTTAGTGCTCTGCACCCAGAGACTTACCCTGTCAAGGACTGCAAAGATTTCTCCTCCACTGAGCTCTCAGTCATCCTCCCAGTCCTGACCACCTTTAAGCTCTCTCTGCCTGTCTCACTTTCCTGAGAGACCCTGGCAGTGCCCTCAGCCCTGCTGCGCTTGGCAGAGGAGCTGCTCCTGAGCAGAGCTGTCTCTCTGCAGCATTGCCCAAAGGCCAGAAGCTCCCTCTGTCCCAGGAGCCCGGCCCAGCTCAGCAGCAGAGGAACAGCCCAAGGCATTTTAATGACCCCTCTGGTGGGTTTGATGCTGAGCCCGTGAACCTCAGACGCTGAGAAGTTGAAGAAATCTCAAAACAAGTCAAAGTTAGATTCAAACTCCAAAGTTTCTTGCAGAGCTAATGGGTCTCAATGGGGGACACCACAGAGCAAGTGTCCCCATGGTCCAGTCGGAGCAGAAAACTGGAGGCAGTGGTTACAGGTCGGGAGAAGCAAGGTGAAGGTGTCTCTGATGCTGAGGAAACCTTGGTGTGTTTCATGAATGCAAAGGGCCAAGCCCTGCCCCCCAGCCCTTGGGGAGGAACATCCTGTCCCTCACTCGTTCCTCAGCGCTCTTCCTGGGGCAGTGTGACGTGGAGATGTGCAATGCCAAGGACCATGGTCTGACACCTCCCAGGCTTCTGAGTGTGGACAAGGAGGCAAGGAGGCCCCAGTGCTGGAAGGATCAGTTGTCTTCTCATAGGCATCATGGGCAGAGAGAACAGCCATAGCCAAAGAGACCAAGAGGTTGGCTCTGAGGGGGCTTCCAGCTTTGCCACGTCCCTCTATCTTCCTGTCCTACAGTGTCACATCTCCTCCGCCTCTTTCCCTGCAGGCTGCAGTCATCCACCTGGCTGCCCCACCTTGCTGTCACCTTCCTTTGCTGGTATCTCTACCTCTTCCCTGGCTCTTCCTTGGAACACAGAGCCTTGGACTGATCCAGACTCCTTCTGGGTGACGTGTTGCACCACAGCACTGCCCTGGGAGTGACATTTCCTTCTCCTCGTGTCCAGTCTGGACCTCCCCAGTGGCACTTTCTGGCGTTATTTCATTCTCATGCTGTTTTCTGCTCTGAAGAAAAGCTCCAGGAGCTCCGAGACCACCCTTCAGGCCCTCTCAGGCTACTCCTATGCTGTCCTCAGGCCCCACACCAGGGAGCCCAGGGCCCTCAGCCTCTCTCTACTGGTCACGTGCTTGAGGCCTCCAAACCCCATCTTGGCAGATCTCTGGGCTCTCTCCACAGTCTTTGCAGATGAAAACATTGTGGTCATAGGCCAAGAAAGATGGAGTGAGACTTTTTGCCAAGTCCTGTAGTGGCAGGATAAGGGACAATGGTTTTAACCTGACGGAGGGTAGATTTAGCATGGATATAAGGAAGAGATGTTTTACGATGAGGGTGACAAGGCACTGGAACAGGTTGCCCAGAGAAGCTGGAGATGCCCCATCCCTGGAAGTGTTCAGGGTCAGGAACTTTGAGCAATCTGAACTAGGGAAAGATTTCCTGCTCCATGGCAAGGGGGTTGGACTAGATGAATGTTTAGGTGCCTTCCAAACCAAACAGTTTTCTGCACAATATGCTGTTAATTTCAGAGAGTTAGAAGAGGCCTAGATAAGGAGTAAAATTACTGAATCGAAAACTGGTTCTTTCTACCTCAAACCAGAACAGCAGCCCAGAGCACTTCCTAGGGAAACTCTAGGGTCCTGAGGGTCTGAAATCAAGAGAATGCCATAGGTCTTGCCCTGGAAGGGAAGTTGTCTTTCATGGAAGACAGCATCAGGAGTATGTGGATCTCTGCCTGGGGATGGATGATGAGTCACCTGAGAGCTGAGGGGTCACAATGAGAGGGCAGAAAAACATGGGCAACACTGTGGTGGGTGGACATCTGCTCTGAACCTCCTGATCAGGAAGAGGAAGTAGGTGAGGACGCCTTCTACTGATGAAACCTTCTTACTCCAGCCATGGGAGGCACCGTGCTCGCAGGCTCTTGTCCTGCTGGGGGACTTCAACCACCCCAACATCTGCTGGAGAAGTAGCACGGTGAGCTGTAGGCAACCCAGGAGACTCCTGGAATGCTCGAGGATAACTTCTTAAGGCAGGTAATAGGCAGACCTACCAGAGGGGATGAGACACGTGTCCTGTTGGTCAGCAATGCAAGTGAGCTACTTGGTGACATCAAGATTGGAGGCAGCCTGGGCTTGTCTGTAGCCAGTCCTTGCTTTCAGCTCCTAACGGCTGCTTTAAGGCCATGGCCAGTGCCCTGTCCTGTCACTGGCCCAGACCTGCTGCCCCAAATGTGGTCCCATGGCCCTGCTGCATAGGAACGGGAGAGGGGAAGTCCATTCAGGGGTGGGGAGATGCACCCCTGACAGCCCTCAGTGATCTCTTCCTGCTTGCCTTCCGTGCTTTGGCAGCCTCCCCCAGTGTCCTGAGTTACAGGAAAAACTGATTCTCCTTCTCCTATCTCATTTCTGCCACACACGCGGTGTCCCATTCTTTTCCCAGCTGACCAGTCAGTGTTTTCCTGGCCAGACATCCTTGGTTTCCCCCCTGCAAGGCCTCAAGCTGGTGGTGCTGCTCTGCAGAGCAAGGGGCTTGCAGAGCCCTTGGGCTGCAGGGTGAGGCCACACTGGTTGTGCTGGTCAGGCTGGGAAGCAAATCCTTCCCAGGGGTCTGTGGACAATCACAGGATATTCCATCTGTCTCAGGGAGCGTTCAGGGTTGTCACTGGATCCAGTCCATGGCTTCTCATTGAAGGTGACATGAATCACTGTCCAGTCTCCCTTCCTCAAGCCTGCTCTGTCCCCACTGCTTATCTTGACATTGCAGAGCCCTCTTTAGCACTCATTAGCCCTCATTGGCCCGTCCATCCTTTGCTGGTACCTTACTGTGAAACTCCATCCACTGTGCACCCAACACCAGGCACATGGTGTCCCTCGTGACCTCTTTTGCTCTCTTTGTGACTCCTTATAGCTCCCTGAAAGACAGGAGTCTGACAGTAGCTGTTCCACGTGTGATAGAGTCCCCAGCAGGTGCCCTTGACCATTTACTTTCTCCAGTGGCACCACGGGGTACCCACAGCTCAAGGCTCAGTCCAGATTTCATTCCTTTACACAGTGCCCGTGCCCTCATCCATCCTCCAAGTCCATTCAGCCCCCAAGTGTGTCATCAAGGTCTTTTAGGCTGCAGTTCCCTGAGTGTATCCTGCACTCTGGTTTGGGAAAAAATAACCCCCAAGTTTCACCCATGGAACTGAGGAAACCCCCTTTTATTACAGAGATGCCACAAAGGCAGCCAGCATTGGTTTGGAGATAGACTC